ATTTGTTTTCTCAAAGATCGCCGTTTGTTATTAGGTTGGATCTACGATTGAAAAAATGTAGTGTGTTTTGGTAGTTTTGGTAATAGTAGGTATTACATAAAAGTCAGGAAAAATTACACGTTACTTGGCGAGGAAATTATTGAAGGTAACAATTGGGGCGAGCTCTTGAATTTTCTAGTGCAAGTAATCGGCTTTATTGCACAGCCGGGGACCGTTACGAGGACGGTGCACCGCTACTTACAGAGAGCTGCACGAGTCTCTCACTAAGCCGATTTCCTCTTCGGCTCATTACGTGGCTAATTTCTTGGCACTTAGTCTTTCTAATTAAAATGCGACCGGTCTATTTTTGTGTCAGAAGAGACGACTCGAAGCGCAATGCCGAGAATTCGCTTCGACTCACTCGGCATCTAATAACTGAACTTCGCATTTTGTAACAAGACCCGTATCCGGCACCGGCGACGTCGTTGATTTATGCCGATCTAGCCTTCAACTCGCTTCGGAATTCGTTATTAACCGGAAAGTGCTATAAACACGATTTTAGATTTTCGGGCGGGCGACTGTTTATATTTGGTATAGTATTAACTCTATGTTTTGTGACCGAAACCGGGCAACATACTCCAGGAATTTCGGACGAGCGGTTTGAATTATGCCGCATCTTAGAATGTGGTTATGGAAAACTCTGTTTTGTGCCCGAACCGTGTGTGATTGATTATGCCGATCTTGCCTTCACAGCTAGCTCCGGCATTGGTATCCAACTCTGTGTTTGTACAAGAAACGACGGGTGGAATTTTATCGAAGACGGTTACGTATGCCATCGCAATGTAATTAGGTACCTTGTGCTATCTTTAGGCGTTATATACATTACACCCCGCAAAAGGCTTAAAAAATAGATTACAGTTCGCTCATAGTCAAACGTCGTTGAGTTATTGCATCAGCTTCAGAAATGAGAAAACCGAATTTTTACAGTGGACCATAATAAATACTTCGAAATTTATAATTTATTACTAAAAAAAATTAAGGGTTAAAGGGTTAGTACCCAATTGTCAAAGATATAACTTTGCAAATATTTAAAATATAAGGGTATATCGACCCCTACACTAAAAAACAAAACATTAAAAAAGTCTTAGAGCGTAGAAAAAAATTTGTACAAGTTTATACCTTAAGATTAACATTAGAATACTAATATTAAGAAGCTGCTATGAACGGTTATAGCTTTGCAAATATTTAGAGTTTTAAGGGGGCTTAAGCTACCCGTACACTTAAGTAAAACATAAAAAAATCGTAGAGGGTGGAAAAAAATTTGTAACCAAGTTCATACTTAAAATAATATTAGATACTAATATAAGAAGTGCTATGAACGTATAGGCTTGCAAATATTTGGAGAAGTTTGGGCGTGTACTACATTAGAAACAATATCGAGGAAAAAAAAGTTCCTATAATGAAATTTGCATATAGGAACAGTTGCCAATAGGGGCGAATCGATGAATCTAAAATAGTACTCTTTTTGAAAACATTCTGAAACAAAATAAAAAAGTGAATTTTGAAGCAGCTTCTTACAAAATTTTTTGCCACCCTCTACGAATTTTTTAATGTTTTTACTGAGTGTAGGTAGATTAACCCCTTAAAGCTCTAAATATTGCAAAGCATATAGTTCATAGCACTTCTTATATAGTATCTAATATTAAGTTAGTATGATTTGTACAAATTTTTTTCCCCCTCTACGAATTTTTATGTTTTTACTAGTTGTTAGGTAATTAACCCCTTAAACTCTAAATATTTGCAAGCTATACGTT